CTGCTGCAGGTGTGATTGCAGAACCGCACGGTGGCCCCGGAATGGGGAACTGCTGCTGAAAGGTCAGAAAGGGTGGGGACTGCATTTCGGGTAAGAGGACGCCAGCGGTTCTGGAGCAGGCGGCCTTCAGCTACGCCTGCGTTCACATGTACATTATTTCAGACTCACCCCACGTTTACATCTCTAAGCCCATCCAAGCCATGGCAGCGCGAACCTCTCCCTCCCCCACCTCAAGGCCTCTGGGCCCCCAGGACAGAGGACAGGAGAAGAGACAGCCCCTCCTAGCTCAGGGGTGCCGGGACCCCGTGATGGCTGCTGTGCCTCTGCTGAGACTTCCGCTCCCGCTCCACCAGCTCCGTTTGTCTCCAGGCGCAGTGTCAGTCGTGTTCTCTAATCCCTTCTGAGGTCCCATCAGCACAGGTCCCATCTTACCTGGAAAGGCTTGTTGCCTTGTGTTTGGGACTTTTTATTCTGTGCTTTTCTTTTGGATATTAAGTTTCATATCCACTCTTGCTTGTCACTCAGACCTTGCAGCCCTCTCCCTTCCATTGGAACACTCTAGTCATTTCTGTTTTCAACTAAGAACCAGCCTCATTCATGGTGAGAAATTAATGCTCCTTGGCTGTGGTCAGCAGACAGTATCAAACCGTGCAATCTGTTAAGGTCCATTCAAACACAGACCTCCGAAGTGATTTATTGTTCCGCATATTCTGGTCATACGGCGTTTTCAAATCATAGGTAAACAGGACTGTGTGTGTGTGTGCAAAAGAATGATTGTGCCCAGCAATCTCGGTAAACAGGTCAACTAAGAGCCCAAAATATATTTCTAGAGTGCTTACATTCAGAAGTGAGTACTGATTTGCTTTTAATTAATATTTGGAATGCATGGGGTACCAGGAGGACCCAACTATGAAGTATTTATGTGGGTGGTGAGACTAGGAGTGATTTTGTTCTTTGTGTTTTTCTGTATTTTAAAAATTTTCTAAACTGAGTGTGCGTTTAGTCCTCTAAAAATATAAGTAATGTCCCATTTAACAGTGCTACCAGTTGGAAAAACTGATTAACGTCATTTATCCATTAATTTATTGTATATAAAGCTGTTGCTGTCATTGTTGAAATTAGGTGTTGCCAGATTGTGCAAGTATCAAAGCTTGAAGTTCAAGAAGCAAACAAAGTGGGTCATCAGATTGGTTGTTGATCACTCCAACAGCAAAGTTCTAGGCAATTAATGTTTTTGTTACTTTTGAAACATAAGTGCAAGGAATTAACAAAAAGTGTGCAGGGCAGGGACAGCTCCTTCGCCCTGGCCTCATACTGATGTTCTTGAAGTTTGCTTTGTCTTCCCTACTGCTTGCATTTGCTAAGCAGAAAGTGAGGTGTGTGCTCCACAGGAGTGGTTCATGGACGTGATGCTGCCCTGGCCCCGCACCCTGAGGTGAGGAGACTGCACTGGGGCAGGCAACGGGCCAGGAGACAGCAAGCAAGTATTTTTCCTGTGTGTGGAATCATATTTAATAATTGTTGAAGAACAAAGTCTTAACAGCACACGTAGCAAGTTTGAATAGAGCTCTCTGATTGCCTTGGTCCCATGGCTGACCAGTGACCGCCATTTTGCCTGCAGAGATGGGATGGTGAGCCATCATTTCTCCTTCCTCTTTCGTGATACCATCAGTGGCTTAGTCTCCGTGTGTCCGTCAGATCCTCCCCAATGCTGGGGATAAAACATGAATGAAATGGAGTTACCCCTCAAAGAGCTCCCAGCTCTAAAGCCATGACCCTGTGCTCCATCAACACACAGGAGCAAGGGGAAGGCAGATGTTCTGGGAGGAGCAGAGAAGGCTTCACAGAGGGAGGCAGCACAGCTGACCCCAAGTGTGAAGGGAAGCTGTGGGGGAAGTGCAGAGCGGTCCCTTTCAGGTGGAGCAACAGCACAAGATACCTTTGAGATGTAGACGTATGAGAGGCACAGCTGTTTGAGGAGCATTGAAGAGTTTAGGGGCACAGTATTGGACTTCAGGGTTAAGTTCAGGATCTGGGATCAGAGTCTGACAAGTTTAAAGGTTCTTGAAATAATTCTGGTAAATAGATGTGGTAAGACAGTGCAGCAGTACAGGTGCAGAAGCTTCAGAAGCCTTCCTCTTTCTCCTCTCATCCTCTTCCTTCCCTCTCAGCCCTAAATTGAGGCAGAGCGAAGAGGGCTCCAACTGGCAGGGGAAGGACTGACAGGTGGTGCTTGGAGTCGGCTGTGGAGCCAAACAGGGTGGTGAGGAAAGTTCCCCTGGGGAAGGTGAGAATGGCCCCTGTCAGTGCGAGTGGGGCTGGGAGGTTGAGAGGTAGCTGTGAAGGGGCATCGGGCCTGGAGATGGGAGAGGGCACCTGTGTGGGGAAGAGGGTGGTGGTGGTGACGGAAGGTTGGTGGTTACATTCAGGGGACTGATCAGCACGTAAGTATATTAAGGATAATGGGAGCAGGTTTCTTACAAATAAGGAAAGGAAGAATCAATAGAGAGGTAAATGTGTGTGTGCACATGTGTGTCTGTATTTGACAAAGAGAGAGAAAGATCATCCCCAAGACCACCCTCAGGTTTAGTGAGTTTCAGAAAGAACAGGCCTCAGAAGTCATCTACTCATGGCTACAGTGTCCCTAAGGGGACACTGTAAGAGGGAAAGGCACAAGGCAAAGGCTGCAGGAAGCCTGTGTGAGTTGTGAACTTCCTCTCCTAGGGCAGTCATGCGGGATACTCCTGACTCCTCCGCAGTGAGCTGCGATGATGTGTGAGGTGTTGTCTATCAGGATGCTTGCCTGAGCCTGAGTCCTGTGTGTGGTTTGGGGAATTGGTCCCATAGACACACAGGAGGCTACAGAACCCTGGAAGAAAATCGGGGGTTCGTTGTAAGTCACATCATTTGTATGAATTGTCCAGAAATTGTCCGGACAAAAGGGTGCAGGTGATGCACGTTTCTAAGTGTGCGAAACACTCATGCTACAGTGTTCAACTTTTTTGGCTTCTGTGGACCACAGTGGAAGAATTGTCTTGGGCCACACATAAAATACACTAATAGTAGCTGATGAGCTAAAAAAAAAAAAAAGTCCACGCATAATTTTCATGATAATCTTATTAAAAAGTGGGCAAAGGACATGAATAGACATTTTTCAAAAGAAGACATACATATGGCCAACAGGTATATGTAAAAATGCTCAACATCACTAATCATCAGAGAAATGCAAATTAAAACCACAACAAGATATCTCATCCTACCCTAGTCAGAAGGGCTGTTATTTAAAAAGTCCAAAAACAGATGTTGGCGAGGATGCAGAGAAAAGGAAACTCTTATACACTGTGGGAATGTAAATTGGTACAACCTCTATGGAAAACTGGAGATTTCTCAAAGAATTAAAGATAGAACTACCATTTGGTCCAGCAATCTTCCTACTGTGTATCTACCTAAAGGAAAAGAAATCCACATATCAAAAAGATACATGCACTCATATGTTTATCACAGTACTATTCACAATAGCAAAGATATAGAAACTAGCTTGAGTGTCCATCAGTGGATGACTGGATAAAGAAAATGTGGTGTGTGTGTATATATATATATGTATATATATATGTGTATATATATACACACACACAGTGGAATACTATCCAGTCATAAAGAATAATGTCTTTAGTGACAACATGGATAGATTAGAGGCCAGTATCTTAAACATGTCAGACCCCAAAAGACAAATATCATGTGTTCTCACTCACAAGTGGTAGCTAAAAAATGTGTGCACATGGATGTAGAGTGGAATGACAGACATTGGAGACTTGGAAGGGTGAGAGGGCAGGAGGTAGGTGGGTGATGAGAACTTAAGGGGTACAGTGTATGTTATTTGGGTGACGATACTCCAAAAGCCCTGACTTGACTGGCACACGTTGTATGCATATATCCAATTATGCACGGACTTTTTTTTTTTTTTTAAAAGATCATCAGCTGTTGTTAGTGTGTGCATGCTGAATAGGGTATCCAAAACTATACTTGTACCCCACAGATTTATACAAATAAAAAAATGGTTACTAATAAGGATGACTATAAGATTTCTGCTTAGATTACTACTGTAGTAGCATTCATCTAAGACATTCTTTGTCCAAAATACTTTCAAATACAAAAATCATGATTCCAAGAAAGTGAAGACACAGGATGCTCAGAGAAAGGATTGCCTGTTTCTCACTGATTGTCTTTCTATGGGTCAGTGGCGCTTAGCAGGGAATATTCCCTTCAATATTTTCAACAGCAACTTGAGTGACCCTTTACATATAAGACTTTTAATTCCAAATTTTTGTTTGTGTGTTTGTTTTTTTGAGAAGGAGTCTGGCTCTGTCGCCCAGGCTGGAGTGCAGTGGCGTGATCTCGGCTCACTGCAAGCTCCGCCTCCCAGGTTCACGCCATTCTCCTGCCTCAGCCTCCCAAGTAGCTGGGACTTCAGGCGCCGGCCACCTCGCCCGGCTAATTTTTTGTATTTGTAGTAGAGATGGGGTTTCACTGTGTTAGCCAGGATGGTCTCCATCTCCAGATCTTGTGATCTGCCCGCCTTGGCCTCCCAAAGTGCTGGGATTACAGGCATGTGCCACCACGCCTGGCTAGTTTTGTATTTTTAGTAGAGACAGGGTTTCTCCATGTTGGTCAGGCTGGTCTCGAACTTCCAACCTCAGGTGATCCATCTGCCTCGGCCTCCCAAAGTGCTGGGATTACAGATGTGAGCCACCGCACCTGGCCTAATTCCAGTTTTTGACCGAGGAGTGAAGTCACTTACACTGGATGACAGAGTCCTATTGCTGGCTAGAATAGACAGTGAAGGTGCATCCCAGAATAAATCAAAGGTGGTGGATGGTGTCTTTCCTTACCCAGACTGTGTGGATAAACATTGCATTTTTATTTATTTATTTTTTTTGAGACAGATTCTCACTCTGTCGCCCAGGCTGGAGTGCAGTGGTGCAGTCATAGCTCACTGCAGCCTTGACCTCCTAGGATCAAGTGATCTTCCCACCTCAGCCACCTGAGTAGCTGGGACTACTTTTTTAATTTTAGGCGAAGAGAATATGTACTTGGCTAATTACAAAAACTTTTTTTTTTTTTTTTGTAGAGACAAGGTCTGTGTTACCCAGGTTGGTCTTGAACCCCTGAGCTCAAGAGATCCACCTTGGCCTCCCAAAGTGATAGGATTACAGGCGTGAACCACCACACTCAGCCTGCATTTCTGAAAACTGATAGATGGGGTGAGAAAAATACTGAAGCCAGAACATACAGGTGTGAATTACGGCTCTGAGAAGTATTTGTGTGATATTAGAAATATTAGTGTGCCTTCATTTTCTCATCTGAAAAGTAATGGTAAATGATAAAAATTCACAGTATCCTCTTTCTGGCTCTGTTTTTCTTGTCATTTATTGATAAATGAATTATGTGTTACCTTTTGTTTGTTGCCTGTTTCTGCAGCGTGAGCTCCAAGGAAACATTGGTTTACTCATCCACACTAAGTAGGATCGTTAGTAACTGAACATCAGAGAGAACACGACAGCCTCTGAACAAAGAGCTTATGCTGGCGTGGGAAACAAATGCAAAACCGTCGTGGCAAGTGGAGGACATGAAGTCGGGGTTTCAGTGTTTTTCCCTGTTGCCTGTTACCACCCATTACGCGGAAGTAGATTTGGGACTCAGGTACTCTTACTAGCTTGTGTGGTGCCCTCTGCGGCCTGGTTCTGGATATGCAGCCCAGTTACTGAACGTCGATTTGGGGCTCAGATCCTGTCATCCACGTGTGTGGTGCCCTCTGCAGTCTGGTTCTGTGCAGTTCTCTTTTCATGACTGGTAGTCTCTGTGGCCCAGTTCTGTGGAGGTGGTTTTCCATCTCTGATTCTCTCATCGGTGTGTGCTGGTCTTTGGAGTCTAATTAATTGGAAGTTGATTTTGGATATTCTCCTCATTCGTGTGTGGTGCTCCCAGTGGTCTGGCTTTGTGGAAGTCGATTTTGGATTGTGATCCTGTCATACATTTGGCATTCTGCCGTCCCCTCGTATGAGGTATGTTTGGCACTGTGCCTTTCTTACGCTGCAGTCTTACGAGAAAGGAGGTTCCACACTCTGATCCTCTCATCTGTACATTTGGGCCTCTGCAGTGTGGCCTCAGGTGGGTTTCACATAGGGTGTGTAATTTGGCTCTGAAGAGGTAAGACAGACTCCTCTGTCATCACGGCCATGTTGCTTAATAGCTCACATGACAGTCTACTGGAAGTCCAATTCTTGTAAAAGAGCGCTTGCCCGGCACTTTTTCTTGAGAGCAAGGGGACTCAAGTCAATAAATAATGTGTTTATCTTCAAAGCTCACTGTGAAAGCAAATTTGGAAAATGGAACTCATTTTCTGGGTTGCAAGACCAATGATGAATCACGTTGTTTGCTTCTTATTACTGTTAGAGTTTATGTCTCTCCTTGGGAATATGGCTCGGTATTGAAAACATTCTCAATACCCTCAAGTTGCTTTTTTTTCGCCTATGAGGATAAAGGAGAATAAAACACGAGATAATTGAGGGAAAGTAAGAGGGAAAAAAGAATTTGTATATTGATTTGGAGTGTCTTCAGGAATAAATAGGAGATGTTCAAGGCAGAAAGGAGAACGTTAAGAAGACTAGGTGTATAGATGTGGCACCAGAATGGTGGTGGTGGGAGATAATTCAAAAAATAGCATTTGTGCACTTAGGAAATACTTTTACAGGTTACCTGATGTGAAATTACAATATTGATACCAGCACAACATCCTAGAGGGAAATCCTGTGTGCTTGTTGGATAGGGTCTTGGTCATCAAGTCCAAGTTTATAGGCAAGTCCTATAAGCTTTGGGGATTAGCCAGTGGTTCTCAAATGTGATTCCTGCACCAGCAGCATCAGCATCTACTGGGAACTTGTTAGAAATGAAAATTCTCGGTCGGGCGCGGTGGCTCACGCCTGTAATCGCAGCACTTTGGGAGGCCGAGGCAGGCGGATCACAAGTTCAGGAGATTGAGACCATCCTGGCTAACACGGTGGAACACAGTCTCTACTAAAATACAAAAAAGTTAGCCAGGCGTGGTGGCAGGCGCCTGTAGTCCCAGCTACTTGGGAGGCTGAGGCAGGAGAATGGCGTGAACCTGGGAGGTGGAGGTTGCAGTGAGCCAAGATTGCGCCACTGCACTCCAGCCTGGGCCACAGAGCAAGACTCCGTCTCAAAAAAAAAAAAGAAAATTCTCAAACCCCACCCAAGTTCCTTAAGTCAGAGCCTGTGGGGTAATCCAGGTACTCTATTTGTTTTGTTTTGTTTTGTGAGACGGAGCTCGCTCTGCTGCCCAGGCTGGAGTGCAGTGGTGTGATCTTGGCTAACTGCAACCTCAGCCTCCCAGGTTCAAGTGATTCTCCAGTCCCAGTCTTCAGAGTAGCTGGGAGTGCAGGTGCACACCACCGCACCCAGCTAGTTTTTTGTATTTTTAGTAGAACTGGCGTTTCGCCATCTTGGCCTGGCTGGTCTCGAACTCCTGACTTCAGGCAATCTGCCCGCCTTGGCCTCCCAAAGTGCTGGGAATACAGGCATGCGCCACTGTGCCTGGCCAGCAGGTACTCTTTAAACAAGCTGTTCGAGGGGTCTAGGGTTCACCCTCCAGTCTGTTTGAAACAGGAGGTCCTTGAGCTCACGCTGAGCAGCTTACCTTTCCAGAAAAGGGCAAGCTGGACATCAGCTAAGTAGGTTCATCCTTTCAGTAGGGATGGTACACAGTAAGTATTTTAGTGCATTTGGGTGGTCATTAGTACAGCCTTCCAGCATTTTAATAAACTATTCAGGCCATGTGAGTTTTAGTGCTGCCATAAAAAACTTCATACTGGTGCCAACTCTTAAAATGCAAGGATCAAAAGTTGACCCTATCACACTTGGTTCATACTTGCATCCTTTAAAAACATTCCACAGAGGTACAGGTAACTTACATGTCCTTCTGTTGGAAAATTTAGATTTTCGCTAAAATGGATTTCATAACAATCATGGCATTTTCTAGATGCCTTTGCACCTTGCCACAAAACTCCCACTCGCAATCATTTTATGTGAAACCATCAAATATTAAATACCCTCACAGAATTGTGAATAAATTCACAATATCACTGCATGCTCTGGGGTTTATGATCTGGATTATCAAGTCAGGGAAACCCAAGCCTGAGGCCACACCTGGCTGGCAGCCAGGTGTACATGTGGCCTCTGCTTACACTTAAGCCTTGTATCTCATCCTGTGCCATGTGTTTCTGAAACCAGACATTAGTTTTGGAGAGTGTACCCAGTGTTGGCACTTGACCCTGCCTCATCAGACTGGGGGGGTCCACTGTCCAGCTGCCCACAGTCCCGAGTTGCTGTGTGGACTCAGCAGGCGGCGAGTACTTGTGAAGCTCCTAGTGGGGTGCTGGTGCTCAGTGTGATCACATCTGTAATTTGCTGAGGAACTGAATTTGTAATTGTAATTTGAATCTTGGTGGCTGCCAGAACGACAGTGTGAATGAAAACTGTGCCAACCAGGGCATACTTGGGAAGGGCTGCATGCTGTGTAAATTATTCAGAAAAGCTTTTTCAAAAAGACTTTGAAAGAGGGTTCTGGACTGTCATCCGTCTATCTGAGCTCAGGTCCATTTTCCCATCTACTTTCCTCAGAATGTGTGCAGATTCAGTGAAAAACGGTGGCCCATGATAGGCACATGATAAATCTGTCATTCTCTTTTTGAGGGATTACTTGATCTCTGGTATTCTCTTCCACTTAGTACACAGCAAAAATATTCATACGTTTTGTTTACTCAAAAAAGTTTTTATTATCTGATATATAAAACCAAGAAAACTTTAATACATAATATGACATAGTTTTGTTTTTTTTTAAAAGGAAAAAGTGGCAGAAGTACAGACCTGTGTAGAAAAATACACTCAAGCAGCTGTCCCAAGCAGTAATTCCTAAAATTATGAATAGCACACATCTCAGTGAAAGTATCATTTCTTTAAAAAACACATTTGCTTAACAACTTAAAGTGGTAAGAAATATAACCTTCCTTCTTGATAGCAGACCCAGTTATATAACAGACATTCAAGAATCAGCAATAACTTAGTAAAAGAACATTTCCTTTGTGAGAGTAACAGTATTAGTTTTAGTTCCACAGAAACCGCTTCTGACTGCTGGGGCACCCAGCGACATGGCCTTCATCAGACAGCAAGTCTGGGGAGATGCGGAGCCTCACAGGAGAGGTCACGGGGGAGCATCTTTGGTCTTCTCTGTGCTTAGGAACAAAGGACCAGCAATCCATTGCATACAAATAACACCAAACACAGGTGCAGGAATTCACGACTCCTCAGCAAAAGCTATTTCTTACAAATAGAACTTACTTTTCACTTAATATTCAGAAAAAATGAAAATGCTGAGATGCAGTTTTCCCTCTTAGCAGTCCCATGTTCACGAAGTCAGGACAGTTCCGCCACTGACCAGCAGGTGGTGCTGGACCACAAGGAGAAGCAGCAGGAGGTGCGCGGCTGCGACAACCTAGAAAAATATTTTTTTACCTGTATCTTGTATGAAAGATTTGGTCAAAGTTCTCAAAGTATAAATGTAACATTTTATTCCCATCATTGTATTCAAGCAAAACACATTATATAAAATTTAATTCTATCAAATAGGAATTTTAAAAATTACTAAATATATAAATGTTGCTGGAAGCGCAACATAAAGTGAGGATGAATTTAGTATTTGTTAAAAACCACTAAGTTCCACATGACTTCTTATAGTTGAAAATGAGAACTGCCAGGGACCATTCTAGAAATGAAGATTAGCATGTATTGTGACTTACAAAAAGAAACGTCTGTTTCAAAAAGCAGAGATGAGAACTCACATGCAAATGACGGCTTTCTCAAAGCCCTTGCTGGACGTGTGCGATGCTTATGCTTCATTTCTGCTGAAAACGTTTCAGAAATTGCCCTCAGAGTCTGTCAACCCACGGGAAGAGGGCTTAGATCCCAAATGGGACTGCTGAGCCCAGTCTAGCAGAGCTGCAGCTTCCCAGCCTGGATTCCCCCTCGAGGCTGAATGGGCCATCTCTGTGGGTCACAAAAATAGTCCCTGGTCCGGTGCAGTGGCTCACACCTATAATCGTAGCATTTTGGGAGGCTGAGGGACGGATCACCTGAGGTCAGGAGTTCAAGACCAGCCTAACCAACGTGGTGAAACCCGATCTCTACTAAAAATACAAAAATTAGCCGGGTATGGTGGCACGTGCCTGTAGTCCCAGCTCCTTGGGAAGCTGGGGCAGAATCGCTTGAACCCAGGAGGCAGAGGTTGCAGTGAGCTGCGATCACTCCAGCCTGGATGACAGAGCAAGACTTTGTCTCAAAACAAAAAACAGCCCCGGAACAATTCCACAGCTGCGGATGCCAGAAATGTGCTGGTGGGAGTTCTCCTGCCCCAGCCGAATTATGATCATGAGCAGTGTGAAAATCTGGAATTCTTCTCCATGGTTGTACCTGTGACAGGTTTGGGTGTATTTCTTCTTCGTTTTTTTTTCCCCCCAAGACGGAGTCTCTTGCTCTGTAGCCCAGGCTGGAGTGCAGTGGCGCAATCTCGGCTCACTGCAAGCTCCGCCTCCCGGGTTCAAGCCATTCTCCTGCCTCAGCCTCCTGAGTAGCTGGGACTACAGGCGCCCGCCACCTCGCCCGGCTAATTTTTTTGTTTTGTATTTTTAGTAGAGATGGGGTTTCACCATGTTGGCCATGCTGGTCTCAACCTCCTGACCGCGTGATCCGCCCGCCTCGGCCTCCCAAAGTGCTGGGATTACAGGCGTCAGCCACCTCGCCCGGCTGCATTCGTTCTTAAAAACCAGCCTGTCACATACATCAGCACAGCCGGCCTCGCCTGCAAGTCAGCAGAAAGCACAGCAAGAATGCTGGGACATATTTTGCACGGGCCAAGTTAAAAACATGAATTTGACTATTTTTAAAAAGTAATTTTAAAGCTTCATTTTAAAAACAAAGTATTCGTAAAAATTTTTTAAAGCATTTGTTTACACTTGGTCAGATCTTTTCTATCACTTGGCAAAGGCGCTAAGAGCTGCACTCAGGCCTGGTACAGAGTGTTGTCTTCAGGCATTCATTTTAAGTTCCGTGGCGAAATTCTATAAAAATAGGCAATATTTGTGTTTCTATATCCAGAAGTTGAAACAAAGAGCTGAGTTGTTTCTGTGGTCACAAAAACAACAAAAAAGGAGGGGATGCAGTCTGGAGGGGATGCAGTCTGCAGGTCCCGTCCCTGTCCTTATCCGGGAACTGGAGCCAGGATTTGGGGGCCTCTCGAGTCTAGAGCGTGACCGCGGGCCCGTGCTCCTCCACGCCGCCCGGTGGCAGGGCCAGGCTGTGACGTGGGTCGGCCCGCAGGGAGCTGAGCAGCCGCTGGAGGCCGCCGTCCAGGGCCAGGTCCCGCTGCAGCCGCTGCGCCAGGCCCGCGCCGTTGACCCGGGAGAGGCTGCCTGCGGGGGCGCCCGGGGCCTGGGCGGGGCGTGCGGGCTCCAGCGTGCCCTCGATGACCACGTCGTTGTCCTCGTCGCTCTCCGCCTCGTCGGGGTGGAAGTTCTGCAGGACGCGCGGGGCGGGGGGACCCACGAGGCCCGCGGTGCCGTCCGAGGGGGGTCCCGAGCTGCCCAGCGCGCGGCCGCCGCGCACCACGTTGTTGCGCTGGTTGGCGGGCTTGACGGTGACGATGAGGTTGTGGCTGTTGGCGATCATCATGTCCGTGACCTGGTCCAGCGTCTTCCCGGCCACCTCGATGCCGTTCACTTCCAGGACCTCGTCGTTCACAGCCAGCAGCCCGGTGCTCTCCGCCAGGCCCCCGGGGACCATGCGCGAGATGAAGATGCCGGGCACCTTCTCCAGCCCGTGCGGGGTCACGCGCACGCTGGCGCCATCGCGGATGTAGAAGCCCAGCGGCTTCTCGCAGCCGTGCCGGTGCAGCCGCACTCGCCGGTGCGTCTCGGGGACCAGGTCCACATCGATGATGGACGACACGGGGCGGAAGTCGCGCGGGAGGCCGATGTCCAGGTGTGCGCGCCGCCGGGGTCCTTCGTCACGCAGCGCGCCCAGCGCCCGCCTCCGCCTGCACAGCGAGCCCGCGCCGAGGCTGCCACGCTCGGCCTCCTCTGCGGGAGAGGGGACAGTTAGAGGGACACACACGGAGCCCCGCCTGAGCCCTCGGCCGTCACCTGCCACTGCTGCTCCATCTGCGTGACGCCGAAGCACCCAGGTGCACAGGAGCGTCCCAGACCTGCACGCTGGGCGGAAGTCAGGCAAGCTCGAGGGCCGTCCCCTAAAATTAACTCTCTAGCGCTCTCCTGGCTGCTCCACAGGCACCAAACCAAAGGACTTACAGACTGAAAGGTGCTGGCAGGCACCTGCAGCAGAGAGAATCAATGGCAGAGGAGGGTTTGGGGCCCGGCGGACTGGCGAGTGCCTCAGCCTTCTGGGAGGCAGCAGGCTGGACTGGGGACTTCTTAAGCTTTGCCCATTCTCCCATATTTCCCTCTCTAAACTGTAAGATGGAGGCTCGTTTCTTTTTTTCTAAGGTTAATTACAACGAAGAGAGACCTTTCCTGCTTCTTCTTTCCTATGTGCAAGCCCCACCACAGTGTCTGCTAGTCAGCATTCAAGGCCCCTGAAGGTGTCGCTCAGTCGGGCGTGTGAGCATTTCCCTGCATTTTGGGTTAGCAGCTGATGAGGGGAGATGAGTGGACGAAGGAGCGGGAGCAGAAGATGGCTGCTTCCCTTCTGTGGGGCCCCACACACTGTCAGTGGTATCTGTAGGTAGTTGAAGCCTGAAGGCTGCACGGCTCCCTTCCTCAGGGACGCTGTGGGACCCGCCTGGCCACACCTGCCAGCCTGTGGCATGACACATTTGTGGCAGTGTGGAAACTTTACCCTAAAGTCAGGCTACTGCAAAATAAAAGTCCACTGAATTAATCAAGCAGAAACGTTGTAAGGAGCTTAGTGTAAAGTAAAAATTTTAAGTGAAGACACTGGTGGCATTTGGAAACTCTGAATAAGGCATTTTCCTTGAGTCAGAAAAAAAATCTTGTTTTATTTAATTTTTATAGGAAGCCTCTTTTGTTTTTGACACACAAGGGTCTGTAAAACAGGTGTCTTGGGGAGCAGAGGGAAGGGCTTGCTCTGCGAGGCTTGGTCCTGTGGAATTGGCGGCATCCACAGCAGCCTGCTCTTTGGGCTGGGGAGGCTCACATCTTTGCTTTGCCAGTGAAAGCCAGGAGGACTGGGAGCCCAGGCAGAAGCAATGCCATAAACAGGCGCTCCTCAGAGCAGAGACCTCCAGACTCCAGGCGTCAGTCTGGCTTCTGCATTTCAGTGAGCAGGCAGGGCCCATTATGACCTGCTTTGGAGATGGGGAATGCTGGTTGACAGTTCTGGAAAGGACTCGAAGGCAAATTACTTTCACCATGGAGGCAACATTCAGGCAGCCTGGAGGGGAGGCCAATGCTCAGGCATCACATCTCTCAACCCAGCAGAGCCCATGGCTGCCTAGACAACGAGAAGGCCCTACATAGGCTCTGGAACATGCTGCAGGCAGCAGGGTTAGTGCACCCTGGAGCTGGGATGCCTCAGCATGAGAACTGTCTTCCTGGGAGCTGCATCCCGGCCAGCACTCCACACAGCTGCTCAATGACGGAAGCCATCCATCATCCCTTATCAGCATCATTTATTACCCACTGACACAGTAAAGTCTGAAAGGGCTTTAGAAATAAGATGACTTTTAAAAACTACACCTGTAAACCCTGTTTACCCTGATGTGATTGTTAGGCATTGTATGCCTGTATCAAAATCTCATGTAACCCATAAATATATATACCTAATATGTAACCACAAAAATAGAAAAATAAATTAAAATTACACTTGTAATATTCCTTTCCAGCTGTGACCACCTTTCCTGCACACTCACACGTACACATGGATATGGTTGTCTGTGCTTGTTTTATAGAAACAGGATCTCAGTTCCTGGCCAGCACCCGGCCTCTCTGCACCTCACAGACTCTGCAAATGCTTACTGGGTGACTTCAGGGATACAGATGAGTGGATAAAGTCCCTGCCCTGAAGTAGCCATGAAGCAAGTGGGAGCAAGAGATACAGACTGAATTTTCCATACAGCCACACGGAGAGCACCGTGAGACTGGATGTGCACAGGATACGATGGGAACAGTGCAGGGGCATCTGGGGAGGTGGCAGTTACGCTGCCCAGGGGGTGTGGATCAACAACACAGAGTTGAAGAGAAGACGCCGGAGGGTGAGGGGCACAGACTCTTCCCGTGATGAGGAGAGACTGTGCCTTTAGAGTTCGGCTGGTCTGGCTGCTGCCGCAGGTTTGCATTAACCAAGGGCCTGGGACAGAGTGGGCTCTCCCTGGACTAAAAGCTAAACCTGAACAAAGGCATCTGCCTCATGGTGTGCTCATTCTAAGTGGGAGGGAATGTGGATCCACGGGGCCACAGATGGAGGTGTGGCAGCATCCGAGGCACAGTGCTCTGCCTGTTTTCCATGATACGGGCTCTTCCCAAGGGGTCTCCTTGGATGACAAATCTATGCACTTTCAAGAGGGCAGCCCTTCTGGCAAACTCATGCCTGCAAGAACACTGTCGTGCATGTGGCCATCCACATGCTCCTCCCCGGGGACAGGCCCTGTGCTCAGGGCTGTGAGCAGCAGGGCCCAGGAGAAGAGACTGAGGTTTTATGCAGGGCAGGTGAGGCCTGACTGTGATGCTGAGGGTAGGGGAGTAAGAAATGGTGCGTGTCCATGTGTGAAACAGCCTGGCTGGCTGTCCCACACACGGGCAGAGTACAGTGAGGCCTGGCCTGGGAGAGGTGACACCTCCTGTTCCAAGCATCCTCTTTCTCTCTACCACTGACTCAGAGTTTCAGATTCAATTTCACCTCCCTCCGGGAGCCACTTGTCTTCAAGTCCCAGTTCACAGCCACCCATCCCGGGAGCCCCACCCCTGTTCCGCATGGTGCATTCCCTTCCACCAAAACCACAAACCTGTCTGCGTCACAAGGGCCAGGCGACAGCATCTCAGCCATCCCCACAGGGCAGCAAGAGCTCTGGCCGCAGTGCACGGTGGACCGGATTAAGGCTCAAGCCCAGAACTGTGGGATACAGAGAAGGGCACAACGGGCCAGTCCCCTTCTCGTAAGGGGCTTATAAATCACAGGTAGACCAGGGTTCCCTGCACCAATAAAAGCAAGTGTGTGGACCTCTGCTTCCCGGGAGTCATGTAGTCCTTCCCATCCCTCCTGCTAAGTTCAATAAAAACCCTGGATGTTACATACAAAACATAAGATGATGCAGGAGAGAAGTCACACTAGCTGGGACCTCAGGACCCGAGAAGCAACATGGCAGCAGCTCCTTGGGTTTTCTTTCAGCCTCGTCATCTCAGACTTGGAGCTGAAGGCATCAGCAACCTGGATGCACCAACAGTCATAGACCAAAAAGCCCCAACAAACGTCTGCTCTGTCTGTACGAAGATCAGAAAGAGGCAGCCTAAAAGGATGGAACACGTGTGGACAATAACTGCCCCAACTGCTGCATCCCACACACGGAGCCTGGAGCCTCACCTCCTCAAGGCTAGAATGGGTGCCCAACAGCCCCTGGCTCTGGTGCTAGAGAGACTAAGCAGGAGTGAGGACCTCGCCTTTGGTCTTTTCTCCATGGACCCCACAGTCCTGAGGGGGCCTCTCCTCCCTCAAAACACTCAGGGGCCATCCTAACAGCCCCTCCTCCCGGCCAAGTCCCAACTACTGCAAATCCCTTCCCTGCACTCCAAACCCTCCAAACCTTGAGGGGCGTTGCCTCTGTGATGTGCTCTCCATGTGTCTAAAGGGCTCTACCTTTTAACTTTCATGGTTGGGTGTCTCCACCGGGTCCACACTGCTCTTCACGTCACGTCTGAATGTCATGCCCATAGTAAGAGGATGAAACTGTTGGGTCCTGGGCCTTCAAGGACTTGAGCAGGGGGGAGCCTTGTTTACCCACCTAACAATAATGTAAAATATAATCCTAGTCAACCTCAAATTAAACCTTTTGAAGATATGTATCGGGGGAACCCACCCCCAATATTTCCACATAAGTTCTTTCTATTTGCCATAAGTGTCGGCCGGCTGAGAAATAAAGAGAAAGAGTACAAAGAGAGGAATTTTACAGCTGAGCCACCGGGGATGACATCACATATCGGTAGGCCTGTGGTGCCCACCTGAGCCTCAACCAGCAAGTTTTTTTTAAGGGTTTCAAAAGGGGAGGGAGTGTAAAACGGAGTAGGTACAAAGATCACATGCTTCAAAAGGCAAAAAGCAGAACTACCAATAAGGGTCTAACAAAGATCACATGCTTCTGAGGGGACAGGACAAAGGGAAAAAGCAGAACCACTGATAAGGGTCCAACAAAAACAAGGCAAAGGGCAAAAGCAGAACTATTCATAAGGGTCTGTGTTCAGCGGTGCACATACTATCTTGATAAACATCTTAAACAACAGAAAACGGTTTGAGAGCAGAGAACTGGTCTAACCACAAATTTACCAGGGCAGAGTTTTTCCCCACCCTAGTAAGCCTGAGGGTACTGCAGGAGACCAGGGCGTATCTCAGTCCTTATCTCAACTGCACAAGACAGACATTACCAGAGCAGCCGTTTATACACCTCCCCCCAGGAACACATTCCTTTCCCAGAGTATTAATATTAATATTCCTTGCTAGGAAAAGAATTTAGCGATATCTTCCCTACTTACACGTCCATTTACAGGCTCTCTGCAAGAAGAAAAATATGGCTGTTTTTGCCTGACCCCGCAGGCAGTCAGATCTTACGGTTGTCTTCCCATTCCCTAAAAATTGCTGTTATTCTGTTCTTTTTCAAGGTGCACTGATTTCATATTGTTCAAACAGACTTTTACAATTTGTACAGTTAACACAATTAAAAAAATCAATTTGTACAGTTAACACAATTATCACAGTGGTCCTGAGGTGTGACGTATATCCTCAGTTTTCAAAGATAACAGGATTAAGAGATTAAAGACAGCCATAAGAAATTATGAAAGTATTATTTGGGAACTGATAAATGTCCATGAAATCGTCACAATTTATGTTCCTCTGC